AGGCAACCAAGGCAACAATACAGGTAACAGCTATATTCACACCATCTTTTTTTCAAATTCAAGCAATTCTTTTTTATATATCTTTGAGTCCATTTTAATAAAGTTTATACACGGTTTAAAATGTGTGTCACCTGATCTCCGTAGTTTAAATTCAGTTTAAAATCTTGAAAGACACTGATATACTGTAGTACCTTAAGATAGTTCTTTTGATATAACCCAAACTACAATGTACTTCTGAGTAACGCGCGTATAACGGCAGGTGATAAGAGCTTAAATAAACTATTATACTGAATACCCCACCAGCAGCCTGATGCTCTATTGTTCATCACTTTCAGACAAGAGCAACACAATGTAAATAGTTACTTACTAGAATTAGGTTAAAAGCTAAGACGAGGTCAAACTTTAAACTTTTTTTTATAAATATAAACCTTAACACCATTTAAATATTTTTTCTTGGTTAAAAGAAATTATATTTAAGTATAGATTGATACCATATAATTATTTATGATTAGTGCAGCTAGTTTGATACTGTATATCCAATTTACATGTTTTTTATTCACATATGTGACTTCATTTCAAAGTAGAAGTGGGGTCTTTCCGTAAAAAAGACGCACTGAAGAGAAGGTATATTCTGAATATTATTGGAAAGATGGAATGCATGATATATATTGCAAATTAAGCAATTTTGTTTTAATGTTTATACGACTTAAAGTATATTTTTTGATTAGGTCAGAGGTCATATTTGGTTAACCCCCCCCCCCCCAAAAAAAAAAAAAAAAAAAAAAAAAAAAAAACTCCATACACTGTTAATTTTGATTCAATAAATAAGGGAAATAGGTATGGGTTTTATTATTTGCATTCGGAAACATACCTTGCTATGGAAGCATACCTTAATTATGCTTTGAAGGATTTAAAAATTTTGTATAATAATGAGATCGACCTCTGAAATTGACAAAAAATTAAGCCTGATTTATTCTGACCTCTGAAAGAAATAAAGGGAAACATATTCAGAGGTTCAGATGAGCACAAATGGAAATGCTTTCATCCTCATTATCTCTTAAACCTTAAAGATAGAATCATCACATGCCTGTAAGCATACCACCAATTCCACGTCAAGAGAATTTAAGAGACGTTTAGTTAAAAGCTATAATTTGAAAGGCCTGTATCAAAATATATCACCCGGTCCTCTCACGAAATCGATCACTTAACAGATATTCAACATTAGCAGATTTAGGATGAGTAGGGTATGTTTTGAATGCACGGTGATTATGAGAGAAAAATGCAGTGAGGTCCGCAATAGGTTGTATCATACCCTGCTAAAATTTTAACAATTGCACCAATTTGTCAATTTTTTATTAAGGGGCATGCGCACTTTATACTCAGAATTTCTTTATAATGGCAACGTATTTATGTCAAGTGACATGTGGCATTTAAGGTCAAACAGAAGCATGTTTATCATTCTTCCAAATACATTTGCACATTGATTATCATAATTTTATTAATTATTATTTATCTTTGAGGAGTGGGGTAGGTGAAGGATGCAAATAAAACATACATTCACTAACACACATTTTCAGGATAGCTCTAACAGGGTTATGGGATGACAGTGAAATGGATTGTTCTATGCACAGGCCGATCAAGTGCACCAAGGACCTGAGGACAAGCCGCTCCACACCAACCCCACACTAGATACTGCATATGTAACATTATCATGTAGGTTGTTTTAATGTGTTTACCAAATTCATGCTCGTGACCTCTTTCGATATCTTTCTACCTAAACGTAACCCCCATCGAAAGATAATTTGGAAATATGATAAAGGAAAAGAAGCATGAATAATTAATGAAATAAATAGTTTTGATTGGGGAAAACCTTTTTCCGACATTTCGACAATGCGCATGAAATGACCAGAAACTTTACAGACAGACTTCTATCTATATATAGGAAGTACATACCACAAAAAATAAGAAGTATTAAACACCCAAACCCAATATAGAGGGGCAGTTCACATGCTGAAGTGTAAGAAAATAAAAAATGAATGGTGTCTCCACTGAAATCCAATTTTTAAAATTTTACCATGTCTTAAACATTACGCAAAGAGCCCTATATGGTAACGTATGTTCTTGCCATTTAATTTTCATTTTTATGCCGCGTTCCGATATATATATTTTGGTGGTTCAGTCATGGTATATTAGACATGACGTAAGGACGTTTTTATAAATATTTAAACTGTATCTCAAGGGGCTTTGCGTCATCACTTACACTAGGTAACGTATGTTCCCTAGAAAAATTGTCAAAATGTTTCATTTTGTTCAAGTACTTGTGTGCAAGAGATATAATATTTTCTTTTGCTAACCGAACAATATATTGTGGTTCCATGATAGTTTGACATTTCTGATATAATATTTGGATCATGAAGGGATTTTTTTTAATTAAATGCTTACTTTACTGTCGGTAGGGTGTATTTTCCCTATTTTTTAATATTCTGTGACAAGCAAACTAAAGTCGCTCAAAAACAATTCACTGCTCTATACAGAAGATTATTATAATTTTTAGCAACGTTATACTTGTAGGAGATAAATCAATGAACAAAACCAGTGATGACTGAATTTTAAAAGTGAGTAGAACGTTTCACAGTTTGACGTTTTGTATCCATGACAGTAACGTATGTGGGGCCCTAAAATAATCAAACACAGTTAGCAATCTGTGCAGTAAATATATCTAAATAACATGCTTGTGACATCAGTTGCACCTCTATATTGGGTTTGGGTGTAAAGCGAATGACAAGCCTTGGTTCTCCAACAGGTTACGGCATGAAATTCTAAAAAACGAAATTATATGCTAAAATGAGAATAATTCCTACGCAGGATAATACAAATGGTTTTAAGGCTAAGTCCGCTCTGGTTTATAAACTGATAAAGGGCAAGAAGGGAACTTATTACAATAGTCTAATTGGCGAAAAATCAGACGGACGTAAACTGAACTGACATACCATGAAAAGCATGATAGGAACACAGTTCAATACGTCAATTCCAGCTTTCGTTAATGCTTCAATAGGTATGTCTGCATATACTGGTCGGAAAAATCTAGTGTTGCTTATTATGTGTTTCTCAAAGAGATTTCACTCTGACGATGAGACTGACACTGCAACGCTATTCTCCCTTCTCCCCCAGAACAAGTGAAACTCTGTCTGAGGTGGATGTGACTGATACGGAAATCAAATCTGAACAATAATTGATAACTTGGATAGCTCAAAGGCTGAAACTCCACGACATTCTTCTTTTGATGCCCTCTTAAACAGGCGAAGTTACCGTAATTTCTATAAAATAATCGAAAATATACTGGGAGATGACTGCAATAACTTCAGAACACAACAAGATAAAATTAACCTCTTTCTACATGGTCACAAATCGCTAACTCCTTGTAATAATGACAGGATTTTTGAGACTTGATTTCCTAATAGACAAAGTGTGATTTCAAATAGCCACATGTATGATTTATACATGAGCCAGCCCAGCCAGTACTTGGGTGCTGGTATACTGGGGATAATTATCGATACAATAATATTTTAAAGATTTTTTTAAATACATTCATTCTCTCAATGCGTATACTGAATATGCCAATTAAAGTTAATGTGTTAGATGGAAAAATGAACATGGAAACCAAGCTGCTTGTAGCAGTATACGTTTCTGTTCACATTTATCTTTATTATTGACAAAATGTTTAATTCTTCAGTAAATTAATATTTTATATTTTTAACGTATTTCAAACCATTGTTTTCACCTACACAGTGACTTATATATAATATGCATGGCTATTTTTGAAACATTCACCAAATAAAATGTTCTTCTTAAACAATGATGAAAAATCTTTTTAGTTTCCATTTGTTGAAAATCCCAAAAATGACCTCCTGTGATATTTGACTCATTATCAATGACCCTTGACTAATTGTAATGCATTCATGACTTTTGAAATACATTGTCCCTTCCCTTGCCTCCATAAGGGTATATAAAATATTGATATACTTCTTACGCTATAGATAAAGTAAGCCTTTTCTCTCCCTGCCCCCATCAGAGGTACCAGTATGAGAAGGCTCTCACACATATATATATTTGAAACCCTAAAACCCGCAAAACCCTAAAAACTAAAAGAACCATGAAAGCCAACACATACTAACACCCTACATATATTTAACCTTCAACACGTCATAGTGCTGAACACATTCAGGCTTAACACCTGTAACATGCTTGGGGGCTAAACTTGCCAAGCAACTAAACGCGGTGAAAAAATGAGACAAAACAGGCGCTCAGAATGTGCTTAAGAGCTAACCAGTGTTAACGTTTCTACAGTGTAGTTCTTCCAATTAGACTAGTAAAAGATGTCCCTGGACACTGTTTTTGTATTGTGGAAATAATAGTATTAGAAGTTTTAACGTTATGTTAAAACACGAGATTATGCTATTTATACGTGCATACCTCTATGTAAACTTAATTAGACTAACTAAAGATATTTTATATACGCCAAAAAAAAAAAATAATAATAATAATAAAAAAACACTACGTATTTATGCAACGGTTCACAGCAAAGTCTATTTCTCTTTGTTCTTATTTATTCCATACCATCTTGCTGTAAATATATAAGGAGCGATGAGCAAAGAAGAATGTGCGATCATCATAATAATGTTATTAATAGCTATAATCTTAATATATAATAAGTATAATAATAATAATGATAATATTCATAAAATAATTAAACTATTGACCACGTACCTGTAAATATATAAAGAGCGATGAGCAAAGAAGAATGACAGAAAAAGGCGGCGACGATATTTATAAGCGACGAAAGGCGGGAAAGATGACCAATGGGAATGAGAGAGTAAGATGACGCCCACGTGACAAAACAAAAGACGAACACGAGTGAAGAAAATACATTCATACGGCTACATCACACTTCATTGCACTTCATTGCATGATAGTGTTATAGTGAGCAATTAGTCCCTTACCTACACTGGTCTATCGTTTCATTGTGTGAAAAGCTCCAGTGGCCAGACAATTTTCTCGGTGCCATGAAGATAAACAGTTAAAAAATATCCACAATAAATTCGGCAACCGTAGGATGCGCCAACATATAGATAATTGCGATAGTATTTATGCCAAAACATCAAAATGAATAGCCCTGCCGTTCCAATCGGCAATCCTCGACTGTCGAGTGCGGAGACATCCGAGTAGTTCCAAGTGCTGCCGTTCTACCCTTTAAACCAATCAAAGCAACGGAAAGGGGTCACGTGATCACTTGACCTACATCTGATCGATGTAAACAATGAATTTCCATGCGAAGCTTGCACATTTAATAGATGATTCCCATGCGTTGTTTCAATAAAAAAAATACGTCCTAGGTTTTTAAAATCGATGTCAATATCGAGAGAAAGATTTAAATAGTTGGAAAATACGTGTATTTTAGGTGTATTTATATAATTGGCTAAATGATGACGTGAATTCACGGCAAAAAGGTATGTAGTATAGCCCGTAGACTGTGCACTGTACCACTTCTACAATCGCACACAGGTCACACTATTACCCAATATAGTGATCATATAATCACTTGCATGTATGTTCAGTAATGTTACATTGAATGCATTTTAAATTCTCAGGTGTGTTAAAGCGCATATAATCACTTAAAATTATTTGACTCAATATTTTACACTGATAAATAGTATAAATCCATGTGTAGAGTTACAAACTAGGTATCATGCGGACTGTCTGTTTATGAAGCTGGCAAGTGCTCAAAAAATTATTTCAAAAATATATAAGTGCTTCACTAGGTAGAATAATTGAGTTTTTTATGTTCAAGTTTATCTTTAAATTGCAGAGGTACAATTTTTAAAGAAGTTTAATTGTTGCAATTAATTGCAGCATTGTCTAGTAATAACAGCATATTAAAAGAAATAACAGCTCACATTTAACAAGGCTTTTATGATATATATAATATATTTTTCCAACTTAATTATTTCAACTGTGAAATTATAACTTTCTACATTTCTTGTGCATATCTGAAAAAGATTAATAAAATGCCATTCGAACAGGTACACTTAAAGTTTTGCAAATGGATTTTAGGTCTAAGAAAGCAGGCTAGCAATACCATTTTTAGAGCTAAGCTTGGCAGTTACCCTATTATTTCAACTATAACTAAACCTGTCTAAAGATTAGTCTTAGACTGGAACAACTACTAGTAGATAATAGAACTGTAAATCAGGTGCACAGTCTTGAGCAAGATACAAAGGGAAACACATGGACAGAATCTATCCGAAGATAACAACCCACCAAAGAAATTATATCAAATAGAAAACCTTTTAGAAATATTGAACATAAAAATCGAAAAACACTTCTGGCAGGAATTAAATAGCTCAATCTCAAACAAATTAAGGACATACAAAACAATAAAAAAAATATTATGAATGTGAAAATTACATCAAAATGAGTGTCTCCCCATTAAATATCAAAACACTTGCAAAAATTAGACTAAGTGACCACAACTTTTTTTTTTTTACAAATAATGCAGATAGCTGGCAGCACTGGTGACTTTGATATACCAAACCCTGAGACTGATCTCAATTTCTTGGGAGATGGACCTTGTATTTTGGGAAGAGTACAACTGGTTGATGGTTCTGTAAAAGAAGCAAAATAACATTTTACTTTTCATACCATATATATTAGTGCATTATAATGTGCAGATACTGACTACTACAGAAACAACTTTAACGTTGGATAAATATCCAAGTGGGTGTAACAAAGATATGTAAAAATAGTAATGTGCTCAAAATTCAGTTATAAAAACAGTTGCCCTGTATAAATAAAAAGACAACATAGAATACATATTTCAAATAAAAACATCTGGATACCTGGATACACAAATGATTTAGCAAATACAGAGCAGACCGCAAATCCTTGATTGTTGCAAGTGCAATTGTATATACAATCACTATGATTTAACTATAAAATAAATAAATAATAATGAAATAAGATAAGACAGTCGCATGTGAGTTTATCACATGATTGACACCAAGTGATATTAACAACTATAATTACATATATCCTCATGATTCAAAGGGCATAGGGTAGGTATAGGATTCAATGTATTAGTGGCTCAGCATGTTCCTTTTATGAGGAACTAAGCTGTAACAAACTATAGGCAAATGAGACCCACTGTTTAATATTTGTTGCAACTAAGACAAATAAATCAAGTTTAAAGATCTAATAATTAATAGGGAGCCCACTAGCATTCTGCTGCCCAGATTAATATCAGATGCCTTGAATAAAATTGACTCTTCTCTTTAAACTGAACTACATCTACCAGTCACCCTACTCATTATAATTATTCCTTAATTGATACTGTTTGTCAACGTATTTCTTTATTGATACTATTTATGTATACCTTTACTGATTTTATTCATAAGGGAAAGTTACAAGGATTATTCCTAACAGTCCTAATTAAATTAATCACATTGCAGCTTGTTCTGTGAAAAGCTATCCTACTTTTTCTGGCTCACAAGATACAGTAAATATTCCCTAAAATACATTCTCATTGAAGTTGGGCTTAGCCTATACATATTTATATTCACTAATGGTTGCACATGTGCAGCAATGTAACTGGGGGGGAGGAACACTCCACAAATAACATAAAAGATTCTACCATGATACTTAAGCCTTTGTCTCATAAAATCCCACCATAACATTTGTTTGTATATCTTGTTGTGTGAAGCCTTACATTATTTTGTGTAAATGCAATGCTAATATGGATGAACTAATAATGAGATGTTAATCATGGCAAGAACATACAGCTAGCTTAGGCTGTATTCCCAGAGCTTTTAGATTGATCTGTCCCCGCGGGGAGTCTCACTAGATTACTGTCAGATAATCCGGCTTAAATGTCCGTCCCGCCTACTACAAGCTGTAAGGGGGTATTTAACTTTCGTGTCCGCCCCACTGACAGCTGTTTAGCGTGAACCCCTAAAGTAGATATATCTAATCTCTGGAAATGGGGTCTTATTCAACAGAGAATGAGTTGTTTCATATCTTAAAACCTCTAAGTATTTACAAATAAAATAATAATAACACTAATAAACTTTTTTATCATTTTCTTTTTTTTTCTTTCTTTCATATCACTTTTATCAGTCACATATTGTTATGTAACATCAGCCACGTACAATGTAAACATCACACGATCAGGGCTGATTTAAAAACAAATTACAATATGTTGACATACCTTCTTCAGCAGGACTGCCTTGTTTCTCAGCTTTCTCATACTTCTTTGCCGCCTGAGATAGCCCCTTCTTGTTAGTTAGCTTTCTGTAGCAAGAAAAGTGACATCGTGGTTTGGCTTCCAAATCGTCGAATCCTTTATCTAAATCCGTACTGTACGGATCCACTGAACAGCAGCGGCTTCTCTGCTGCCAAATTTCCGCCATTGTTTCGCTGCGACTCTAAAATTTTCCCAGCGAACACGTGTGATGGTATCTAGAGTCTCTTAATTAGCTACCTTCTTCTATGTGCATGCAACACGAAAGATGAGAATTTGGCGAAGATTTCGCGTCTCCCTCCTCAGACTCTTCATTACAGCCGACCATGCAGCTTTGTTTACATGGCATGGCCTGGTGGGAAGGTGACGTGACCCCCTTTCCGTTGCTTTGATTGGTTAATCTGATCTGAATCTGATTAAAAGGCTCGAACGGCGGGGCTATTCATTTTGATGTTTCGGCATAAATACTACCGCAATTATCTTTATGTTGCCGCACCTCTCGGTTGCCGAATTTATTGTGGATATTCTTTTACTGTTTATCTTAATGCACCGTGAAAATTGTTTGGCCACATCACATATTGAAGGAAAGAGCTTTTCTAAACGCTTTTATGCATATCAGGTGGGGTACTAAATGACGACAGCAGTTTGGAGCTTCCGAACGTTTATTCACCGACTTTCGCTTCATACAACTTCACAAATATTTATATTCAATTTCTCCGTACTGATCACGCATTTGCTTGTTTTCTTTTCCATTGTATTTGCGTGATTGCAAAATATTTCCCATTCTCATGTTGCAAGTCACTATGCAACATTTCCTTATTAGGTAATCCCTAAGAGACTTGTTTTCAATTAAAGATATCTAAAATATTATTTGGATTACTCATGTTTGGACCTTATCCAAAACTCAGTTATCATGTGATAAATAGATGATCAAAATTATTATATGTTATGAAATTAACCAAGCACATTAACTGTTACTGACTTTGACCTTTTCTATCTTTTTCTGACACTAAAAACATGTTCTACACTTGTTGACTCTTGGAGAAACTTAACTTACACTTAATAACTCTTTGTCACTTTTACTCATTTGATTCCGCTTTAATTGTTTTCTGTATATGGCAAAAATGTAAGTAATTTGCTTTACAACAATAGTAGTACTGTTGCCGTGACCGTACGGTCGAAAACTTGAAAACTTTCTTGTAGTGGATATATTATATTTTGCTGCATAGAAACCTATTGAAAACTGATATAAACTGATGTGAACTGAAACTGAATTAAACCGATGAAAACTCATAAACATAAAACAATATGGTCCGCTGAGACCCATCCCAGCAGACAAACGACATTGATTCACCGTTGAATCAACGTTAATTTTGGTGGATCAACGTTGAATCAACGTAGAATCAATGTCGTTTGCCTGCTGGGATGTCGCTCAACTGCACGTGTTGCAGTTACAAGTACATTGCTAATGTGCACCTGTTCGTAGATTGAAATAGTGTTATATGTTTTACATGTTGACGTTTTGTCAATCATTTTAACCCTCTTGAAAACTCGATAATTAGCCTATTGATTATTCAGTTTTTTTCACCAATAAGTCAACATAGGCAGGCATATACAGTTTTATATACTACTTAGTCTATTTCAATGCCAAATTCAGCTCTCTACAACTGTCAATCTATCTGTCAGTCTATTTCACTGCAAAACTGTAAAGGCCTCGTCACAAATCAGTTGCGATGCGTCGGGGATGGGTAAAACCCAGGAAATTTGAACAAAATCTTGAGACAGATCTCACGATTTTAAACCCGTCGGAGGCTCTCTCCGGACGCCTGCGGGTTGTCGCAGATTTTTTAGACATCGCCACACCCGTCGCGGTCCCCAACTTTGAACTTAAAATTTTAAGATTGCTCGCAAGATTTTTCACCCATTTTAGGCATCCCAGACATAATCTCCGATGACCTACGATGCCCTCCGATTAACCCTCATCCACAAGTAAATGGAACCCTACGTAAACCCTGAAACCGGGCCTCAGAGACCCGGTGTACCATGAAAATCTGACTCCCATCAAAAAACATTCAAAATCTAATTTAATTTGAGTAAATGACTATGATCTTGTAGTATGCATAATGGAGGACACATTGGCACTTTTTGTTAGTTTGCAGGTGAAAATTTTGAAAAAATAAAAAAAAAAAATTAAAGATTTGTATTTTACCACCCAAGGACTCCCCTATGAAAAAGCTATTTATTTGACATTTGATGACCATTTCAACATCTTTTCTTTAAGAACTTTATGAAGAATATATTGAAGTACTTGAAAGTTTAATGGTTAGAAAATTGGGTGAAAAAAATAATAAAAAAACACATTAAAAAATAAGAAAAATTAAAGATTTATATTCGAACACCCAATGACTCCCCTATGAAAAAGCTTTTTATTTGATATTTGATGAACATTCTGACATCTTTTCTTTGAGGATACTTTATGAGGAATATATTGGAAATATTTGAAAGTTTGAATGGTAAAATACTGGGTATGCTATATAAGAAAAATTCAGTAAAAAGGCGATGGGGCCAATTTCTTGAGTTAAAAATGTAGCATTTTGACATGGAAGTGCAAAACCTACAGGTAGTAAGATGAATACTTGTTTTAAAAATATTCACCAAAATTTTCACCACCAAACTTTCAAATAATAGCAAAATGTACATCTCTGTGCAAACTATGTAGAAAACAATGGTATGGTGACTGAATATAAAATAGGTCCTTTTCTTTATGGGAATCCAAATCTCATGAGACTAGTGGCAAGATTCTGTGTGGGATTGGAAAATCAGGTTGAGATTCAATGTCTGCGAGTAGTCTCCGACGCCCTCCGACTGAATCGGAGGCGCCCTGCGACGATTCGTACGCTTTATGTGATCGTCTCCGACGAACCGTACGGTGGAATCGTAGTAAATCGCCGTGTATATAAGGGCGCCTCGGGACCGGATCGCTAAAAGTTTGAGACGCTCTTGCTGCAGGAGGCTGTGACAGAAGGTTTTGAAGATGCCAAGGAGAGGACCAAGGGGGAAAAATTACAAGAAAAGACGCTCGCAGATATCGTCGGAGGCGATCGGAGGCTAATCCCACGATTTTTCGACAAAACCGGGTCAAAATCCTTGAAAAAATCTCAGACAATGTGACTGCCCCACTTTTATTTAGGATTATTGCTAGGATTGTTCAAGGATTCTTTATTTTCTACAACGACCCCCGGCCAAAACTAATCCCCGACAGATCGCCGACATTGTGACTGGGCCTTAAGACTCTCTCTATCTGTCAGTCCCTCTAGCATAAGCCTCTCTCTTTCTCTCTCTCTCTGTCTTGCACCTTTTATCCCTTCACTCATTTTGCGTTTTAAATTAACTTAATATGCAACCTGCCTCATACATTACGTCAGTGGCATGAGTATACTGAAGCTTAATTATATATACGTTACAAATAAACTGGCCTGCACAAATATGTATATCACATTCCAACTACAATTACTTTTAATGGTTCTACAATCCGCCAATACACATCTGTCTAAATCATAAGTTAGTTATAGGTACGTGTACATTTCAGGGCAACCTCATGGTAAATACGAACCAGGCTAAACACTCGTCATTTGACTGGAGTTTATCTATCACATTTGTACTTACAGACTTATGAAATGTCACTGACGTATCGGGCTTCACGTTTCAGCTACAGGAAGTCGAAGAACAAAGCCACATTGACGACGTTTTTTTCTGCTTTTTTACTTTTCTCGCAATAAAAATCAAGATGGCGAACAGTAAAGGTAGTAGTAACCTAAACCTTAAATGTATGGTGCTTTATGATTGGACAACGCGTCCTTAGCACCTCCGTAATGTCTCCTACGCGTTAAATAGTGCAGGTGTAATGTGGGTATTTTGAGTCCAGATCATGGCAAAATTGTTTAGTTCCCAAGCAAAATCACTTAGGATTAATTTGTCAGTAATTATTTTTTCTGTACCCTTCGGCTGATGTCCCTCCCCCATGTACCCTATGATACCCTAGGGCGACCATAAAAATCTATGTAAACGCAACTGAATATCGACAAAAGCGTATATGTATTGTGCACCGACACGATCGCGATTTGTTTACCGTAATTAAATCATTTCTGATCTAGCTGCAAAGTACGCGGAACGTTTTATTTTAGACAGTTACGTTGCTAAGGAGAAAAGCAATGCATTATAACTGTAAAAAAAACCCTCTACACTGTTTATGCCTACACAAAGCAACTGCAATGCCCTTGTTTGAACAATGAAAAGAAAACTGACTTGGTAAAGCGTGTACATATTGCAGCGAGCAGAAAGGCATTTATACGTTCATGTTCAAGACACGACGTAGCTTAAACTCACTCGTGCACACAGTTCTTGTCGGAGAGTTTTATTTCGTGTCTGTGCAAAAGAATTGTTCCTACAAAGAACGAAACGAAGCTGCTTTGTGCCTATGATCATGAATTTCCATGGTTGTCATCACCAATTTCGACGTCCACACGAATACGACGAGCCCCCGCTGCCAGCTCCGTCACAGTACTCGGACCAGTCCACGACCACTGACGGTCTGTACGCCTCCATTAGACCTTCTAACATCACAACTGTAGGCCCGGCCTCCTTTGACGACTTCAGTGAGGATGATAATAGTCACCAAGAGCACCATGCATCTCATTTTTATGGCAAAATTATGCGTGAACGACGATGGCGTTTTTGCCTCATGGTCATATTCATTATGTGTTTTATACAGATGATAGCCATAGCGGCGCTGGGTGCTGCAATTTACCTTCATCGACTTGGCGACGACAAACCTTCTTCTTGGATAACAGCTACTCCTTTCGTCAAACCAAACACCATGACTCAAAACGATGTTCATCTTTACAGTATAGAAGGTCACGCCGGGTTAGCTGAACTTTGTGTTTCTGACTCTAATATCAAGCACCGCAGCAAAAACTGCACTATATTTCAAGTACTACAAAAGGTAGTTGCCAGAGTTAACATAATACTTGCCGTATTTAATTGTAAGTCTAAAAATGCCGCTTTAAAAGCACCCGATTTGCTTTACGGCCTACAAATTGTATTCTTACCTGACGAGGGACATTGTTTTTGGTAGCACTTATGATTTTGTTTCCAAGACACAATTACTTTATTTTGTGAACGTGAGTGAATCTGTTCATCTTCAATATTTTGTACATCTTCTTGAACCTTACAATGATCATGAACAGAATATTATTTGTAAACTCAAACATACCAGAACTAAACGCCTTTGTCATAAAAATAAAACCACTGATGCTGTTTTCCATTTATCTTTGGATTTTAATAATTTTGATTGGGATATAGTGGTGATTAAACGTAATTATTTTATCTGTCATGAATAAATGTAAAAAATTCCAATAAGAAAGGGGAAGTAGATTTTTTTGATGGCTGATGACTCATTGGTTTCACTATTGAAAGCCTTCTAGTTTAAGCTCAGTGAAAAAGTATAACGTTTAATGTTAACTCATTTTATTGCAGCTCATGGAACATTTTGAGAAGAAAAATGAAGCAGTTGGGAAAGACATCAATAAAACCAGTGATGAAGTTCTTCTATTGAAAAATGTGATGAATGGTACGTCTAATGCAGGCATTATATTTTCATATCTGTTTGCGTGTGGTCATTAGACTTCGTTTTTACTTTCTTTTCATTTAATTTTGGTTTACTTATTTTTTTTTTGACTTGATAAGGACAAATTTATGCAGAATACAAAAAAAAAAAAAAAAAAAAAAAAAATTCCGATGAATCACATTTAGTGAGAAGAAATGCAACAGGTCCATGTCCACACTTGAATCTTCTTCTGAGAAACTATTTTACTCTGTTTCTAAAGGTTACCCTCCTTTGTCGCAATTTTGAATCGGGCACACTGCCGTTCATTGATTGAATTGATGGACAGGCAGTATAATATATATAGCAAATATCCTTTGAGTTTTATCTAATATGATGTTTACACTTTTAATGTAATGCAGCTTTGTGTATTTAAGTACTCTGTGTATAGACTAATCCCATAGATTCAATATTTCATTCTTAATATCTTTTTTCCTCGGGTCTGATAGGAAATATGGCGAGTCTGTCTACAAACAGTCGTCTGCAAGAGATGATGATAAATGTTAAATGTAACGTGTGTAATTGTAAACGAGCTGTACTTTGTCCGTCAGTTCCATATGCTAGAAAAATAATAATAATTAAACAGATGTGAAGGTGTTATTTGAAGAAAATAGCAATAGTGAGACGATATCTTGCCATAATTTCATTTAAAAAGGTGGCGTAAAAATATATATTTTATAAACTGGTAGGTCGACCTTGTGTAGTGAGAATGAAACAAGGCCAAAAACATCATGTCCAAGCATTAAACGATAAGTGTTTGCCTGACCCCCCTCTACAGTGGAAGCAGATTTTATACGCATATTACCACCAGCCAGCTGTGAGGTCAGCTCAAACGTTGTTTGCTTATGAGTCAATCAATGATTTTCATATGAATCCAGAGCCCATGTATGGGTTTTACTTCCTTTCATACAGTTTCTTTTGTGTACACAAATGCTTAAAGCGGGAATAAAACTGGTCGCCTACACCGACAAAACAGGCCCTATTCGCACATAAATAACTCTACGTGTCAAGCACACAGATGCGTATTTTCTATACACTTTTATTTATCATCGTGTACTCTGAAAGAATAAAATGAGAAATACTAAAGGCAAGGTGGAAACTTTATCGTAGACGTGTATGCATTATGACCTGCATAACTCGGGAACTAAAATGAAAATATGAGGATCCAAGCACAGCGACAAAGTACAAGTGAACTACCGTGTGTAAAGTCTCAAAACGTTGTGCCGTGAATGCTATAGCTGTGACTTTCTGTGAAGGTAGCCGGTTGTGACCAAGAAGGACACACATTAAATGCTGAAATGAGGGACACAGATGTTTTTTTTTTTTTTTTTTAATACACATTTCAGTTATTCATTTTGTATCTAACATTTCTATCAACTGAGAAAACTCTCCACTATTCCTTTTTTTCATAAATCCCAGAGGCCACCATTTGTGTGCTTCGGCGACCATGTTTTTGTAAACAATCAGCCTCTTCTTATATATCTTAAATGACACAGAAAAGAACATAAATGCATTTGAAATGTTTACTACAAAGTCATTGACAAATGTCATTTGGACGAGCATCCTGTGGGTCACAAGGTATTCATATCATCTCAGGCTCCACGGTCTGCTTTCTCTATGAAACCCATATTTTATTGCAACCCACTAAAATAGCAGAGAAAATGTTTTAGGCGTCTTTTCTCTTCCTATTTGTGCGGTTCATCCCTTAAGAGCGTGTGTGATGACTTTTTGGTTCTCATGTATATGAATCATTCCAGGTCTCAAAACTAACTTAACAGACTTACTGCAGACATCCAAAAAGGACGACATCCCTTTGACAGTGGCACACCTGAGAGGCTCGAGGCCCTCTGACAGTGAGTCCTCTTAACTACTTTTTATTTACCTTAAGTTAATGAAAAATTGGAAACATACACAAATACAATAACATATATCCAATAGGGTTCTCTAATAATTTAATACAAAGTTAAAATCCCCCCCCCCAAAAAAAAAAATAAATAAATAAATAAATAAATAAATAAATAAATAAAAAGCATGCCGTACTTTTGCATATCTAAAATATGGATGCAATAGTGTCAGCTGTGCATGTAGAAATAAGACAAAATTGTATATCAGATATAAATATCAAAAGGATATTACCTTAAATGATTTGGATACATGAAATTATTAACATCTGCTTTAATTAATTTAGCGCCCCTTAATGCATTTTTATTGCTGTTCTGTTTTCTGTTATAGAATTTACTTGGGAAAGCAGCCCTGACATGTGTAAGGGGGACGTCCGCTATGACACCTCTGAGAGGTGCTTAACCGTGCAGCGAGAGGGACACTTTCTCGTGTACAGCCAGCTATGCTTATGGGCTCCAGGAACGAGTTCAACTGTGACTTTTGAACATAAGATAGAGAGAAGGAGTGGAAGTCTATGGTGGGACGAGCTTTATAAAATCTTAAACTTGCGGGACAGCAGCCGAACTGAATGTACCTCTTTGTCAGGTATAATATATCTTAAAGAAAACGACAGTGTGAGAGTTAATCTAGAATATGAAGATTTAATTACCAGGGACCGCGAGTTTAATTCCTTTGGTTTATACATGCTCCCATAACCATAATGAAATGGATACTGGGAGGCACTGGTTTTATCTGTAAACGTATATGCGTTGCATTTCTGGTGACTCCTGTCTGCGTTTCAAACTTGTGATAGTTGTAATGAAATGCAAACTGAAATTATTGCCTTGATGTTCCCTTTTTCACACCCTGAGCTTCAGAGATAACTTGACACTAACCTCTTCACTATAGCCTATCTTCATCGTGTCAAGTTACCTCTGACCACATTCGATTGCCTCCGCCGCCCGCCAATCCAATTTAAAGCCCGCACTCAATGACTCATTGAACGATCTAGCCAATGAACGCGAACGAGTCAAAGCGCGCTTTGTTCAAATCCGGACCAATCAAAGATAAGGCTGAATATCAGGGACTTGCCGTAACCTGTGGGCAGCACGCAAAATACATCATCCCTCAGTAGATAATTATGCAGGGAATCAAACTGCTCTGGTTTCAATTCCGATATACTCCATGCTTTCTTTGTGTACGGTTATGCACTCGGAACTACTCGGATGTCTCCGCACTCGACAATAACTTTGTTGTTAGTATGGAGCTTGCGGAATCAGCCGAGGATTACCTCGGCTGAAAAATTTGGTGAAAAATTTTGAAACATGGATTCGATTGGCTTATATAAACTAGGTCAAACTATTTTCGTCAGAGGTAACTTGACACGATGAAGATAGGCTATAGTGAAGAGGTTAGTGTCAAGTTATCTCTGAAGCTCAGGGTGCTTTTTCAATGATCTTATAATATAATAATGTATTCCTATGTGTGTGTTCGGGTATTTATATATAGTGTCTATGAGGGGGCAGATAAAATAATAATGAATAAATATGCATGTATCATATTTGCGTTATAAAATAGAGCACATATATGTCAAGCATTTGGTATAAAATATTTCATTGAAACTGATGCGTATATGGAGCAACATTAAGGAACTGCGGAGTATATTGTAAATAATGAACTTTTGATATCAGTGCACTAATAAAATACTCATATTACCTAGGTCACAATGGGAACGTTTTGTTTGGTATGCTATATATGTAGCAAGTTAAATACAATCTGCCTGCGATGATTGTCATACTATAGTGTGTAACATGAATGTTTGTGGACAGGTTAACATCGTCAATATGTTATAAATGTATGCCACGCGTCATTTGGCCAAGTGATTCGGCTTCAGTGAACAATAATTTTATCTTAATGTTATAAAAAACTGTCTATTTTCAGCACTTTGAAATGTTGATAAGCTATACAAAACTGATGAAGATACGTTGATTACAAGCGAATAAACTTAGTCCTTACTTAGTCTTTCTCTGCCATGGAGCGCACTGGCTTTTGCATACAAACATGTTATATATACATTAATCATAATATTGTATATGCCCCTTCTTTTGTGTACCGTATATAAGATTTGTTCTCTGTATAAAGCGCGTCAGAGGAGACCTTGTTATGTGGAGAAATAAAAGACGTTTTTAACACTTTTTGTCTCCTACCTTGTTGCTAAGTCCAATCTTACAGGAAAGCAATCAACTTCTTACAAAGTTAAAATTAATGTGAATAAATAAATAGAGAAAAGGGACAAAGTTTCCTAGATGGAAACTTTGGTCTGTTTTCCCGACTTCAGGATCTCCTCATTTTTTCACACCGTCTGTTCAAATATGCTGTTAATAGATTATGCAACAATCAAACCGTAAACCCAAATTCCCACCTTGACGTTTTAGTCAGAATAATGAGGCAGTCTAAGGTTGTTCTAGGTCGTTTTCAAATTCATGCACTCGGTTTTAAAATCATATAGCGATTTTACAACAGTCGTTTATTATACAATCAAGGTGACAGCCGAGCGTGGTTTCTGTAGCCACTAAATATATGTAAATATATACAATATATTGTTATAATTTGTGTCCAACCCCTTACTTAACAATCAACTGGAGGCAACAATTCGCACGGAAAAAAAATTATACTATAGAGCGCGACCATAACGGTTCACATTAACAAACTTATATAGAAACAGACAATGTACACCATTCAGTAACTAATTTTAAGTTTATAAATGAAAGGGAATTGATAATTATTATCATTAAAAACAGTCTTTCGTCCTGGAGCGGGGTAAATACATGTACTTCCCCCAGCATAAAATTGTATTCTTAAGCTAACGATAGTAAAAAAATCAAACCACATTTTACACACAATGAGCAGTAGAAGTGTCACCCCCTGAATCAGAGTAATCAAATAATTATCAAATAATCAATAATGAAAGTAGACAGATCTTGGGTAGTTATAATGCCTGCTTTATTTTTTTGTGAAATTTGATGATAATAAAATGATACTAGGATGTGAACGTCCCAGAAGGTATAGTTCCGTTGGATCAACGTTGAAAACAGGTTGATACATTGAATTGCTTGTGATCTACCTAAATTCAATGTAAAATCAACGTTAATCCAGCCACGTCGAAACACCGTCATAATGTGACGTTGACTCAACGTTGTATTTTGGTCATTGACACAACCTTGCTTAATTGTTGTAAAAGTGATACTCTGACGTTGATACAATGTTGTTATCTGAGGTTGAGTCAACTTTCAAATCCAATGTTTATCCAACGTCTTATCAACGTTATGGTTTAACGTTGTTTCAATGTTAAAACAACATATTTTGCCCACTGGGGTGAGTGAATATGTTCATCTCTAATATTTTGTACATTTTCTTGAACTTTACAATTGTCATGAACAGAATATTATTTGTAAACTCAAAATCTACCTGAACTAAACTTCTTTGTCATGCTGTTATCCATTTATCGTTGTATTTTAAATATTTTAAATAAATGTAAAAGAAAAGTCAAACAGAAAGAGGAAGTAGAGTGTATTGGGGGCTGATGACTCATTGCTTTCACTGAAAGCCTGCTAGTTTAAGGCTCAGTGGAAATGTAGAAAGTTTAATCTTATTTCATTTTATTGCAGCTCATGGAGCATTTTGAGGAGAAAGATGAAGCAGTTGGGAAAGGCATTAATAAAACCAGTAATGACGTTCTTCTATTGAAAAATGTGATGAATGGTGCGTCTAATGCAGGCATTATTTTTCATATCTATTTGCATGTGGTCTTAAGACGTTGTTTTTACTTTCTTTACATGTAATTTTGGTTTGCTTATTTTATTTGACTGGATAACGTTGAATTCGCAAATTTATGCAGAATTTAAAGAATCCCGATAAATCACATTCAGCAAGAGGAAATGCAACAGGTCCCTTTCCATACTTGAACCTTCTTCTGAGAAACTAATTTACTTTTACTAAAGGTTACCCTCCTTCGTCGCTTTTTTAAATAGTGCACATTGTCGATTATTGATTGAATTGATAGGCAGTATAATATATATATATATAGTATATATCCTTTGGGGTTTATCTTATACGTTTACTCTTTTTAAAGTAATACAGCTTTGTGTATTTAACCTCCATGTGTATAGACTCGCCCCATAGAGATTATTTAGGATAAATTAAATATCTCATTCTTAATATCCTTTTTTCTCTGATTTGATAGGAAATATGTCGAGGCTCTCTACAAACAGTCGTGTACAATAGATGATGATAAATGTTAAATGTAACGTGTGTAATTGTAAACTAGCTGTACTTTGTCCTTCAGTTCCATATGCTCGAAAAATATATTTAAACAGGTATTGAGGTGTTATTTGAAGAAAATAGCAATAGTGAGACGATATCTTGCCATAATTTCATTTTAAAAGGTGACATAAAAGCTATATATTTCAAATACCTGAAGGTCGACCTAGTAGTTAGCATGAAACAAGACCAACCATGTTGTGTCCAAGCATGAAACTACCTGTATATTAGTGTTTGCCTGCCCACCCCTCTTGTACCCTCTACAATTGAGGCAGATTTTATCCGCACATTTTCCACCAGCCAGCTGTAAGGTCACCTCAAACACTGTTTGCCTATGAGTCAATCAATGATCTTCATATGAATCCAGAGCCCACGTATTGGTTTTTCTTCTTTTCATACGGTTTCTTTTGTGTACACAAATGCGTAAAGTGGAAATGACACAGGTCGCCTACACCGACACAACAGACCCTATTCCCAAAGAAATAACCCTAGGTGTCAAGCATACAGATGCATATTTTCTTTATACTTTTATCGATCATTGTGTACTTTGAAAGAATAAAATGAGAAATACTAAAGGCAAGGTGGAAAACTTAATCGTAGACGTGTATGCATTATGACCTGCATAACTCGGGAACTTAAATGAAAATATGAGGATCCAAGCACAGCGACAAAGTACAAGTGAACTATCGTGTGTAAAGTCTCAAAACGTTGTGCCGTGAATGCTATAGCTGTGACTTTCTGTGAAGGTAGCCGGTTGTGACCAAGAAAGGCAAAAATTAAATGCTGAAATGAGTGACACAGATGTTTTTTTTTAATACACATTTCAGTTATTCATTTTTTAATCTAACATTTCTATCAATTGAGAAAACTCCCCACTATTCCTTTTTTTCATAAATCCCTGACGCCACCATTTGTGTGCTTCGGCGACCATGTTTTTGTAAACAATTAGCCTCTTCTGATATATTTTAAATGACACAGAAAAGAACATAAATGCATTTGAAATGTTTACTACAAAGTCATTGACAAATGTCATTTGGACGAGCATCCTGTGGGTCACAAGGTATTCATATCCTCTCAGGCTCCACGGTCTGCTTTCTCTATGAAACCCATATTTTATTGCAACCCACTAAAATAGCAGAGAAAATGTACTAGGCGTCTTTTCGCTTCCTATTTGTGCGGTTCATCCCTTAAGAGCGTGTGTGATGACTTTTGGTTCTCATGTATATGAATCATTCCAGGTCTCAAAACTAACTTAACAGACTTACTGCTGACATCCAAAAAGGACGACATCCCTTTGACAGTGGCACACCTGAGAGGCTCGAGGCCCTCTGACAGTGAGTCCTCTTAACTACTTTTTATTTACCTTAAGTTAATGAAAAATTGGAAACATACACAAATACAATAACATATATCCAATAGGGTTCTATAATAATTTAATACAAAGTAAAAATCGCCCCCCAAAAATAAAAAAATAAATAAATAAATAAATAAATAAAAACAGCATGCCGAACTTTTGCATATCTAAAATATGGATGCAATAGTGTTAATTGTGCATGTAAAAA